AGGGCAGATCTGTATGGGAACCCCCCCCCCCCCCAAGTATCGACACTTAAAAAACAGTCCAGTGGAGCCTGAGCGGTGGGTGTTGCCATCTGACACACTTCCGGTGATGTCAGCGGGCGTGGCATATGCAAATAAGTTATGCTAATAAGTTATGCTAATGAGCTCCTGCACCTCTTTTTCTACAAAATGACCCCTGGTGACTGTAACGACCAGGCTACTTGAGGGCTGGACAAGCAGGGTGCAGGTCTCAGTCTCACTCCCGTTGTGTTCATTGGCTAGGGAAGTCCACACCCACCCCACTGCTGACTGAAGGACTCTGCCACAGCTAAATGCAAGGCCTCCTAGGTGTCTTGGCCTTTTGTGAGGGATTAAACACAGTCTTGTAAACATCACAGGGGGCCCTACTGAGGCCTGTGGGGCCTCCTTCCTGTCACTGCACCACGGACAGAGGATGCTAGGAGGGAGGTCTGAGAGCCGCCTGGCCAAAGACTCTTGGGCCTTCCTTGCAGTGAGCTGGTACTCCTCTCAGCGATGCCACCTGCAGGCTTCTGGTTGGCCATCATTGGCTTAAAAATGATCTTATTCAAGATCACTTTACTTGGTCACCCCCAATCCCTTTCAACCTCTTGCCAAGCTCAGAGCAAGGGAGTGAGCAGCCGGAAAGGGCATGCACGCCGCTGTTTCAAGCTCACTCAGAAATACTATCAGCATCAAATTTGAAATAATAAACTATAGGGTCAGTTCACAAATTACAAAGAGGTGTACTGGACCTCTGTGCCCCCCCTAACCATGGAGGCCCAATTTAGACTGGGACCACATGTCAGGAGGCGGCTCCCAATCCCGCTCCCCCTGCCGTCCCTGCAGACCGAGGACAGGACACCTGGCTCGGCCAACGAAGACCAGGACCTGCACCCCGCTTGGCAGGACAGGCTCCCGGGGCGGGCCAGGAACTGACCCTGGGAACTGGCACCGCTGGGAACCTCAGAGTCCGGTGGCCATCCCCGGGTCAACAGTCCAGAGAGTCCGAAGGGGGACCAGGGATGCTTTCCCCGGTGCCCTACAGAGGCTTGCCTGCCACCCAGGGTGGGAAAAAGGGCCAAGCCAGCTGCTGGCCCCGTGGAGGGCCAGGCCGGTGAAGAGAGGGCTGGTTTTTCTGGGGAGGCAGCGGAGGAGTAACCAGACCCATGGCCGACTTACTGTAAGGGCCGGGCACGCACCTGTGGGAAATAAAGGGGATTAGTCCAGGCGCAGCCGGGGAGGATAAGGCCAGCGTCCAGGTGGCGTAGGGCGTCCAGTGTGGAGAGCCAAGAATAGAGGGGAACTCTTTTCTTCTACGGTGTGACACTGACCCCTAAAACATTGGATGGGGCAGGGGAGATGGGCATGAGGCAAGGCTTAGCCGACCCAGGGTCTGAGGCCGCGCTAGAGGACGACCCATCTCCGTTTTCCTCCCAGGACCGTGTGCCCAACCCGAGCAGCTGGAACAGACAAGGACTTGACACCACAGTCCACAAGGAGAGGGGCTTTCATCTTCCCCTTCCACAGCATCATTTCTCTGATCTGCTGTTTTACCCCTTAAGGAAGCTTACAGGTACTCATAGCAATGCATACGTTTTCCCAGCAGGGCAAACAACAGCTCTCTAATGACATTTCTGGTCAGGAAAACAGTGCAGGGATGTGGGGAAGCTTAAAAATCCTCTCCTCATGCAAGTCCGAGAGGCACAGAACTCCTGTGTGTATCTTCATAATGTCCTCTAGGAGTTGCAATGTCTCATTGCACCTTTAAGACCAATGAAATTAGTGTGACCTTTATTATTTTGTCTGCAGCAGATGAACACAGCTACCTTTCTGGAGCGTCAGGAGTAATTTCATTGAGTCCTGACTTGGATGGTCCAGGCTGACACAATCTTATCAGATCTCAGAAGCTAAGCAGGACTCAGTTGGGAGGCCACTAAGGAAGTCCAGTGTGGTTGGTTACACAGAGGCAGGCTATGGCAAACCACATCTTTGTTTGTCTATCTAGCTTTGAAAACCCAATAGGGTCACCGTAAATTGTTGCGATTTGATGGGCACTTTCAATCCACCAGTTTAGATCAAGGCATTTGTAATGAATGCCCTGTTCTTCTTGACTTTGATTTAGCTGTGTAAACTTCTCTGAACAGGAATGTAGCTCAGTAGCAGTGTTTCTTGCTGATTTTTGCATGTTTTTGTGTAGTGGTGAGCTCATATCAGGTTCAATGGTTGGTCAATCTGATTGCATGATGTTTTTCTTTTACCTTTGACAGTTAATTAAAACAGTTTGTAAATCTTAGATTTATTGCTTTTTAATTAAGTTTGGCTTTCTGATCATGCTTGCAAAAGATAATGAGCACATACCAGAAGTATTTTTGGATGCGCCTGTTTAATTATCTCATCAGTGGTTAAGAACCAATAACTTATCTAGATGACGATAATCCCACATTTGATAGAAAGATTTAGCATAAGATAAAATTGTTATTTTTATGTAAACACAGTGATGTGATAAGCAAATCGGATTTCTGTGGATGGAACTCCTCAAGAGATTCTGGTGAGATTTCTGTTTGCGTGTGTGACTTGGGGTTTCCCCAAAACGTCCTAAAAGAGGTTTAAAATAATAATCTGAAATCTGATTTGCTTTAAATTTTACTTATTCAAATATGGTTGAGAAATGCTAGGAGATTTGTTTCTGCGGTTACTGTAGGGTTGATTTTCACACGCTTTCCCCCCTAACATCTAATAAAGAAAATTATTTCTTGAAGGTTTTCTGCTGGTTTGCCTGTGAGTGTTCAAAGAACAGAGCTCAAAATTAATTCATCTGTACTATCAAAATTAAGGGTCAAAAATAACCTTAATCAGATAGATCCCAGAGATATCTGGGGTTAAATAGTTTAAAGAATAATTCTCACAGACTAATTGATCCAGATTCTCTAACTCGATGCAAGAGGATATTATCTCATTACAGCGGAGCGCACACTTGGCACATGGATGTGTGCAGATTCAGCCCCTGGTGCCTTCTGCTAAAAAGAGAGAGAGAGAGAGAGAGAGAGAGAGAGAGAGAGATCTCATGCATCAGATGCAAGAAAAGATTCTCTGTGTGAGGACTTGGAGAGCCACTGTCCATCACAGAGAGCTAGTTTGGTGTAGTGGTTAGGAGTGTGGACTCTAATCTGGGAGAACTGGGTTTGATTCCCCACTCCTTCGCATGCAGCTGCTAGTGTGATCTAGGGTCAGTTACAAGTTCATTCAGAGTTCTGGAAAGAGCAGTTCTCTCAGAGCTCTCTCTCAGCCCCACCTACCTCATAGGGTGTCTGTTGTGGGGAGGGGAAGGGAAAGGAGATTGTAAGCTGCTCTGAGACCCCTTCAGGTAGTGAAAGGTGGTGTATACAGTCTCCTCTCCTCCTCCTTCCCCCCAACCTAGGTTAGATGGCAAAGTGGCCCAGTGCAGCATCAGGCAGCTTCATAGTCTGAAAAACTCCTTATGGGAAGGAGCCATAGATCTAAAGTTAGAGGTCATTCTTTGCACTGAGAAGATCTCTGGATCAGCCCTTGACCTCTGCAGACCACAGAGCTGGGCTGGGCCATCGCTTGCAACCCTGGACTGTGGTCATTGTAGACTGTACCTGCCAAGCTAGATCAATGGTCTGAGGAAGGCACGTTCCTTCGTAAATCTAGACCATTTAAATGCAAGCATCCATATTCAAGTAGGTATTAAGTCTCTGAACTTAATAATTGGTGGGAAGTGCCGCCCAGCCAGAGCCGACTTATGGTGACCACTGTTCTCTCTAAGCTGAGTTAGTGTGAGCTAGCTCACAGTTTTTTAGCCTCTGGCTCAAACATTTTTGTCTTAGCTCAGGAAACATGGCTCCAGAGCAAGCTAATTTATGCAGCAGGCAAATCGCTCGCTCACAACTTTAATGCCAGGAGCTCACAAAGTAGAATTTTTGCTCACAAGACTCCACAGC